CAGAAGTCCTTAAGCATGTGTCTGGATACCTCCATCAAGATAAAAAACCCCAACAACGTTTTCTGCCACAGTTGTTTCATCATGCCCCAGAGAAGCCTGAACATGATCAGATCTTTTTTAACGGTGAGTTATCAAAATAGACAGATCCTGATCCTCCACTTTCAAGCAAGATGAGACTACCCAGACAGAAATCTATAATCTTGTCTTGTTGAAATACAGAAGATGCTATTGATATGCTGCTCACTGACTAAATTGGTTTAAAGGGCACATCTTGGTTTCCATCTGAAAACAACTGGGCCACAGTCCACAGGAAGCCATCGTGGGGGGTCAAGGCATCACCTTATACTACAGCCAAGGGCTGTTAATGTTCATCTGCCTTGATGGATAAATAAAAAGAATGAAAGCTACTTATGTGATTTACATTTATTGAAACGCATATTGTTGCAGTAGCTTTAACTTTATGGTCAAAGGTCAGATTTAGATATTTTCCTGATTTCCAATGTTTGTGGTTTATCATCCATCCCATTCAATTGAAGCTACCCTGATAGGAGAGAAGAAATTTCAGATGTTACATTGTCTGTTAAATATAAATCCTCACAAAATTGGTACAAGACAGTTTGCCATCTCACCTGGGTTGCAGTGTCTTCATAAACCAAAATTATCAAAGGAAAAAAGTTTTAAGTGGTGTTTTGATATTTAGACCCCTGACCCCAATGGGCCAGTAAACCTCCTCTGAGAAATGACATCACTCAGAGTTCATCAAGCCAGTTATCTAAATATTATTGGAGGTATTAGTTTTCCATAACACTTCACAGAATTACATATTTCATTTGTTTCTAAACCACTTGATGGCATATGTGGGCAGAAATTGGAGCAAAAATGTTCCATAACAATGCAGTTTGACATCACTTTGGCCAACCATTAGGCGGCTCAGGATTTGGAAAGCTCAGGTAGCTTTTCTGGCAGGTTCAAAGCCTTCCTGTTGCCACGGTAATGCATCACAACAGATGGGCAAGAATGGCCAGATTTACAGGACAAGTCTCTCCAATAGCACAGCATCCAAACCAGACATCTGGTGAGAAATCTGTTTTAACAGAAAAATCTGAGCAGAAGACCTGAAATGAAAGGAGGCACGTTATTTCACAGTGCAAATTAGGAATAATGGAATGATCAAGCTAAGAGGTAACTGTAAAAGGTGAAGCAGGGCAGAGTGGAAAATATGTTTTGAATCCTCATAAATTAATGTGTTGCTCATGCCCATCATAAGTCCCACATAAGAAATCTCTGTAATTAATCTCCAAGAAATGGATCAGCACTGTTTGTTTTCACCTCATCAATCATCAAATCCCATATCTCTTGATATCTCCTTCTTGGTGAGTTGTTTCAATCAGTATTATCTTTCCCATGTGGACACATAGGTTCCTTACAATCCCTGGCCCTGGACACCCACTCAGTCCAGCCCACCATACAGAGCTGCGATGTGAGACTGCTCAGCAAATTCAGACAGATCCACCCAAGACTGTAATCAGTGGAGAGATTAGCAGGAGAAACTGTTTGTGTTTTCATGGAAATAAATAACAACAAACAAAAGCACGGGAAGAGTGTGATGCACCACAAAACAAAAGGGGAAAAAAAAGAATTGATTGCTTGTCAAGAGAGGTGAACATCATTTATCCTCAACACAATGACGTGAGCACAGGGGAGTCAATCGGGGGCAGAATCACAGGGGAACAACAAACAATGGTTGAGCATCCTAGTGTAAGGCTACCTCTGATCGTGGGAGACGAATGAAAATAACTACAATTTCGACTGAGAAACAATAATTATGCCTTAAGGCGTAAAATAGCTTCCAAACACTTTAGTGATTTATTCATATGTAGCATCAAATCACAGTAGTTTCGCCTGACAGCACCAGTCCAGATTAAGCCAATTATAATCCAATTAACTTTAATCATGTTAGATCAAAATGTTCAAATTAAAGAGTAAAGGTACCTAGCTAAAAAAGAAAGCAGCAGATTGCATGCATCAAAAGCTGTCTTTTGTTTATGGACTGCATAGAAAGCATTGGAGAGAAAAACTTATTTTAAGAGGAGCAAACCTCCATCAGGACCATGAAGTCCATGCAACCATCCGCTGGGGGTTGAGGGACAGGATCCATAACAGTTCAACAATTATGCTTCAAAATCTACAGTATTTTCTCTCTGGTCAAATTTATATCAATACAAAGGCTGACCTTGGACAAAATTATAAAAATCACAACAACATTTATTTGAATTTTAGGCATGTTGAGTCTGTGTGAGGGGTTAATGTGGGAAACACATCTTTATTCTGAGTATTGTGAAAGAGCCGGTGTACCGAGGTGCTTTCCTGCCCCCTGCTGGAGTCTCTCACCCCTCCATTTTTATTCTCAATTTTCCATTCCTCCACTTCCTGCTGCTTACTTTCTCATTTAGTTGACCAAATCACATAGTAATGCCCCACCGTGTATTATGCCTTGAGAACAGAATCTTAAAGTTTCGGTTTTTATTTTATTTCAAAAGAATATAGGTCCATTACTCAAGAAAAAGCATACTGTAAATGTATTATTAGTAAAATATTAGCTTTTTCGTTAATTAAAGCGTACTCAAAGAGGAAAGTTAAGGTGAGCATGAAAAAATATTTTTATCCCAAATACAAACAACAAAATTCAGGCTTCAAATTATACTGAATATTTATTTAGAATGAGGGACACAACTCATGAATAATATCTATAAGTATCTCTGTCTAAAAAAATTCACATAAAACTTAGAGTGTTATTCATTTTTTAGGGATAACAGAGCCTGGTTTTTCCACACGTGAAGACTGTGGAACCTTGTGTAAGAAATGGGCTTATTTGGACTAATTTGAATCCATTTCACTTACATTTTAATGGTGCTATAAAAGCAAATCAGATCAGCAGAAACTTTGTTTTTGTGAGTGAAAGGACAATTGTGATGCTCTGGATTCATTTGAAGCTTGACCAAATGGAACAGTTCCAGGTCCACCATGAGTTAAAGGGCATTTGCTTTAATTGGTCACACCTGTGTGAGGCAGGGTTTTTCTTCTTCTGCTGTTTTTGGCTCTCTCGGCTGCTTCTGCTCCACATCTGAAATGCAAGATTCATAACACCTGAGAGCTGCATGCAGGTAGGAAAGATGCATAAAGGAGCAAATAACTTTGACCGGAGTAAAATGTAGTTTTATTTGTTGTTTCTATGAAGAGGAGAGAGTTTTCTGGACCCAAACCTGACCGGGCAACTGAGCATTTGCAGCCGGAACGTTTCAAAGAACGGCGACAGTAGCTGCAGCTGTCATGGCTTCTGGGTTCTTGATGAGGTACTTGATTTCTTTTCTTTCTCCTTCTTGGGTGCTGAGATGTACCATTTTGGTTGGATTTATGTACCAGAATTTGACGTCTGCTTTTAATTCTTCAGAGTATTGGTTGTCCATTTGTTGAATGAACTGAGCTCCTCATCAGCTCTTCCAACAGGTAAACCTCAAACTTTTCAATGTGTTTAATTACTGAATGAGTTTCCAGACTGGAATTGATATTATCCAACATAAGCAATGGCACAAAGCTTATTCATGGCAAAAAAAAATTCTTAATGTTTTCAGTGTACTCTGAGAAACTATTTTCAACTTTAGGTATTCAACTTGAATTTACATCATTGATCAATTAATTTGGTTAAAAGTTTTGATTTGACATTGTGACTCATGTTTTTATAAACAATTTTTTTTATTGAAGATATCCTAAAACACACATTTGAGGGATATCATCATTTTGAAGGGTCTTTTTAAAAAGAAAAAAACAAAAAAAAACAACTTTTAGTCAAACTGAATACATTGATTTGACTTTTCTTTTAATAAAATTAAAAAAATTTAACCTGACTTATCTGATTAAACTGTCACTTCAGGATATCTTCCAGCTTGGCAGGATGGGGAGAAGAAAGGGGTAACTGGCTACGGCACCCGTCGTCCTCTTCATTATGTTCGTGCTTTGAGGCAGTCCAACGGAAACCTGCAGCCTGAGGACGGGGTCAAAAGACAAGAAACGAGAAGTTTTGGTGACCGGCGCCAACAGCAAACGCTGAGCTCCCGTGAGCCACAGAAGCTGTCTCCTTCCACATCTAAATTTCAGACAACTCGGCCAGCCACACCCAGAAGTTTGGCGATAAACCTGGAATTTCCTGGTCTTGAATTCTTAAGAAAAAACCTAACTGACCGTTTGACCAATAAAGATCATCATGGACACAACAGTCTTGGAAGAAAACCATCCAAGGAGAGCGGTTTCAACTTTCAAGGCTCTGATATCCTCCACACACTTCAAACAGTTGCCAGGCCGAACGTGAAGCTCGTCCTACCGTTTCCTTCGTCACCTAAAATACCAATAAAACTACCATCGCACTCTAAAGAAACGGGATCAACGGTGCCGATATTTGATTTTGACGGTGTTCTTGGAAAAACGGTCCAGCAGATGGGACTCGATTTGCCCTTCTTTACTCCGGACACGCAGCGGCAAGTGGAACAAGCCTACGAGACCATTCACGCACATTTGGACAAACTCGTCTCACACCATCAGCCAAATCCCCAGACGCTCACCAGCCACGAAAGTCCCACTGGACAGAGATGGGGAACTCGAAAGAAAGACGTGCCCAAGCACAAACCTTCTTCCCAGCCAAAATATCCCGACCGTGCGTGGATCCACGGAGGCCACACGAATCCTCCAAGAAAAAAGTATGAGAGGGCTCAACCCAGTTCATATAACAGGTTATCTCATTCTAATAGCCATGTTCGAGATTCCCCATGGCTTTCAACTGGTTCTCCGCTTAGCTCTCCTAATAAGAAAAATTACAACCGTCGACCTGAACCATCCATTGATCGCACTCAAAATATAGATGTCAGTCATACTTATCCACTTCACTTGTATCGCCCTACGTCTTTAAGAAACCCCGTCTGGAATGATGCCACCTCCCGAAAAAAAGCAGATGGAGTGCAGAATGGGTGGAGACCTGTCTCTATGCCGAACTATTACAACAGCTGGAGAGGCAACCTGGCTGGGAAACCTCTGCCAAATCCCCCTGCTACTTCAGAGCCTGAAACCCAAAATGGATCTCCTGGACTGGACATAGATGGACACAAACCACCCACCGATGCTTCACAAAGCCCGGATCCTTGGTCTCGGCCTCATGGCGCCCCACACCTCAATAAGGAACCTCAGTCTCACAATCAAATTCCTTGCATGCAGGGGGCAGACTGCTCAGCCATGCCAGGACATCAATGGCAGATTTATTATTCTCCATATAATCGGCACAGATACACTTCCAGTCCCTTTCAAAATGTCTTTAGGTATGGACAATATCATGGAGACAACAGACCTCTACAGTGGTATGGAAAATAAAAAAAACTAACTTGCTGCTTCCAAACTATTACCGGCTTTATCCTATGTAAATCTTTTAGACCCTTTCCACACTGTTCCTCTGATCCAACTTCTGTTTTTGCTTTTTCTGTTATATGGAAATATTTCTTGTGCATTGGAGTTTTTGTCCCTCTTCTCTAAAGCTGTGGAGGCTTCCTTTCTGCATCTTTTTAGATGAATCAACCGGGCAGTGACGGTGGAACATGGGGCAAGTGAGTCATGGCATTCAGGCATGTTGACAAGTCGTAATCCATTCTAACAAGTGTCTCTTTGCAGGCTGGGAAGCTGAAAATGAAGCCATGCATGTTGACTGACGGGCCGTCTGCTTGATGCGTTTGAAATGGCCCAGCTCTCCTCTGTAACTGTGTTTAGTCAGCTTAACTGAAAGCAGCCTTTTAAGCTGGAAAAGGAAATTGTTTACATGCATTTGTCTAACACTGAAAAAGTGGTTTTCTCACAAGATGAATAAAATTGTCTATCATCCTTACAGAAGTCTGTTTTTAAAGTGATTTCCTGCCTGAGTTTTGTAGAGGCCTGAACTGGCTTTTTTTATTTTTTGGGGGGGGACAAAGTCTGACCTTTTATCCCTTGAGGAAGTGGCGCATAAAATTTTACTTTCTGTTCTAAATACAAAGTGGCTTGGTACCTATATTTTTCTGTCACCTGACTCCAGGAAAAGACTCGTATGACGGTACGAATGGAATCGCAATTCATTAATTTGCATAATGGCAACATTTTTGTATGCCACATAATGCTCTGGCAGTCCAACAGGAATATATATTCCATTAATGCTTCATGCCATCTGCTGGTTTCCTGCGAGTTCTTTATCTGGATATCAGACCTTCTTTCCAGGGGATATACTCTTTCTGTAGAGTGGAAACTCGGTGGTCAGACTGATCTGGCAACATTAGTCAGCCATCTGTGGATGGTTTTGCATTTCAAAAGAACACCCTATGTCCAGTCAGAATCCACTCACCCACTAGTGTGTTCATTCCCACTAATGGCTCTCATTTCACTAATGTCAGGGCAGTATCCACTGAGGAGATCTGTGCGATAGCAAACTGGAACTCACCTCACACATTTACCCAGTTTTACGAGGTGGATGTCATTGCTTCCATTTGCCCCATTGTCCCATGAGGAAATATCCTGTGGGAAGATCGTTGCTGGGGTGCTGTCTCAGAAACAATCTGAGACTCAGTATGTTTCCTATGTGAGACGTGAAACGAATGCTATGAAGGAGACATGACAAAAGTAACCTAACTAAGGTTTAAGCCTTTAAGATAAGAGTTTATTTATTTGGATTTAAACTAATTTTATTGTACTCTGACTCCATTAGTATTTATTTGATAATTGGACTATATCTCTTAAGCGCCTTTAGCAAACTTTTTTGTGTCTTGGCCCCTTATAAATCAAAACTTTTCATTATACTTTAATTTTGTAATAAAATGTGTTGCAGAAGGTTACATTTCATTTGTGTCTGAATTTAATTTCCAGAATGGTTACAATAAATGGTATGCACTGGGCATTCCTGTTGTTAAAGTTTGCAGTCTAGCTGAAATGCATGAGACTAGTATGTTTTACCATAAATCTGATCTAAATATAAACACAAACATACATATCTGTATCAAACTAAATCTGAAATAAAACATCTGGGTGATAATGTGAATGTTGCGTAAAACTACGAACGAGATGTAAATGGGAGGACCTATGGTCCAAATTTTCTATTTACGTTCTCTACTTTATCATTTCACAAAGTTGAAAAGTGCGTTAAAAAACAGGCATAAGAAAAGGATCCTTCCAACTTTTACATTTTATTCAAATGATAAATCATCTGTCAGAGTTACAAGAATCTGTGGTGATTCTCTCCCAAGTAAATCAAACCGAGTGATCACACCTGTGTGAGACACAGTTTGTGTTGGGTTGATTCTCATTAAAGCACAAAATAGTTTCACCTGGGAGACTTCTTCAGGTATTTAAGGCCCACGAAGGCAGCAGCACATTATTGTCTGTGGCAATCTGAGTTGCATTTGTTATTGGTTGGGGTGTCTGGTTGAAAAAAATATTTTTTTTGGTGCATTTCAGTGTGGTTTAGATTCAAGTAAGTTTACAACTTCTAGTTGGAAGTTTTGGGGAGCTGCAGCAAACATGGCTGCTGGGTTCCTTCTTTCAAGGTAAAAATATTTGTGACGAGAGGTATTAATATTGCATGTAGAAGTTTGGAATTGAATGTCAATGTAACTATATCTTGTAACTCCTGCAGAGTATTGCTGGCTTGCTTGTCGAGTAATGTGATCTTCTTGGGCTTTTCAGCAGGTAAGGCTTTCAATTGGGGCATATTACTGTTATGCTTTACCAAAACTTTTAAGTGTAACATGAAGGGACTACCTGAATTTTAACAAAGTTAAAATTTGTAATCAAACATGGCTGGTTTGGATATCTGCACTGACTACTCTTGTTTCTTACAGCTGAACATTTGCTGAATCCTGACCTGTTGCCTGTTGCACACGAAGTGTACAAGTCCCTAAAGCATCTTCCACAGTATATCGGTCGGCCTGAAGTTTCTCAGCTTGTGCGAAGTCTCACAAAGCTCAAACTCCCAAATGAAGAGCAGCGGCCTAAAAATCCTGGTTTGGTGCCCAAAAAATTTCTATCCAACCTTCTAGGCCTGGATGGAGGAACACATGACCATAAGAAGCCCTCTCATGGTCATCAATGCCCCAAACATGAAGATCGCAACCACCATGGTCTAGGACTCTTCCACAACCACAAACCAAGAGACCATAAAATACAATGCCCTATCCTTGACCACATTTTTGGGCACCATGGTCGTCATGGTTCTGAACAGCACGACCCTAGTATCTGGCAACATCCAAAACATTATCCCTCACATGGGCATCATGCCCTAGGACATAAACGTGGTACCTGGCACCAGGGTAACTATGGGTACCAGCAACCTGAGTATGCCCCTGGCCACCAGGGTCCCGGCCACCAACA